GATTTTAATTAAAAGAAGATACCCCGCGTCCCAATTCCCAGAGACAATCCCGCAAAATTCGTTCCGCGATCTGCTGATCAGCGGTCATATAACACGGGAATGGCTGTACTGTGGTTCAGGGATGCGGATTTTTGCGGAACTACTGGCCTGAGCCTTATTTCAACGCAATCAAGCTTATTTTTGAATGATCCCCGCAACACCAGCGCCACAGCTGTATCAGTTGGTATTCGAAATGAGGTATACGTTGCAGGCTGCATTCTTGGCGTCCCTTCGGTGCCATAACGGCACTGTCGTGAAATAAATCTTGCCACCCTAACGCTTCAGCCTTTCAGGATGAGGATAAAAGGTCTTTATTTTTTCTCATTGGACCCCTTTTATGTGCTGTGCGTTTTGATTGGATGGATTTTATGGGAATATAAACTGATATTCTCTTTGTTGAAGTATTGAAAAGTTGCGCTTGGGGTTTTATTTGGATTTAATAACTCCTTTGATTTCAAATTGTTAGACCTTTGTTATTTTTATTTACTTTCCTCAAGGTTGTGCCAGTATTTATTACAAAGGATGATTAATTCGTCATAACTCATGGAAAAAAGCTCTGTTTGAAGTTAACTCTGTTGTAACATTGGACATTTATTTTCCCACTTTCATTAAGCCTTTTGTATTGACCGTTTGTTCAACGTCGGCGTCACCTGAGGCCCTTTACAGCGCATCAATACTCGCGTTTGGACACCACAAAAAACGAATATTTTCATCAGTTGAGTGACATTTTAAACGCACAGTCTGTTGAGAGCAGCCAGTAACAAAGAGTTTTCACAAAGAACAATGAAGGATATACAGCGTGGATGATGATCATTCAAATTGAAAATTCAAATTATTTATTTGCAATAAGTAGGGTTTACAAAAAGGTGTTTCAAAGAGATATATGTTGTTGTTTTTGCATTCAAAATATAGGATTATTTGTAGCAACTAGCTAAAGCTCGCGGTTTTGCCCACGTAAGTATGAATTTAGGTCCCCGCACTCGTCCCCCTATTAAAAACTTATAAAATAAAAACACATTACCTCCTTTGCTTCGCGCAGTCGGGTAAAAACCACCCTATTTTTTTACAATTAAATAGATAGATAGATAGCTCAACCTACGAGTTAATACTAGTATAACATTGTCTTTACTTTATTCATGTCCCAGTTACTTACTGTAAGTTTGAAGCATAAACTTTTACATGAATTACTTTGATTGCAAATCTGTTGCGCTCAGCTAAAGAACGGTGCAACTATAGGGAGCCATGATATAGGATGAGGAAAGCATTAAAACAAACTTGCTGATCTCACCGAACTGCACGAGTCCAATCAGGCGCGCTACACGCGAGTTTAACGCAGACAAATAAATTAGAGGGCAATAGACAGCGCTCGCCGAATAGGAGGAATGTATCGAAAAATTGGACCGGCCGACTTCGCAAAGGTACGAAATTTATACTACAGTTTCACTCCCTTGCGCAGACCATTAAAACTGTCCGTCCATCCGTTTTTAGATTTAAACCAAACGGTCCGCCGTCACGAATCTAAAAAACATTTATCACTCTCGATTTTCCGCCCACGGCCACGGCCGCGTGATTCGCCCATGTTTTTCATGGGCTGTTGGTAAGTAAACGGGCTACGGCGAGCGGGTTTATGGTAGATCCCAATCACATTATGTTACCACCCTGTATTGTTGGATGAAGTACTCTATTTTGCTTAGTAAAACTTAATAAGCTAGGTATATCTTGTATGTAAAGTATGAACAATTAGGTCTAACCTAAGTGGATGTTTATTTTTTTTTAAAGGCATTTAATAATATCCATCAAATTGCGGCCATTATTAAATATACAGCTATTTGAAGCATTAATTAATGCTTCAAATAGCTGTATATTGCGAAATTTCTGAGAAACTTTATTTTGTGGGGACTAGGGCACGCGTCTAGTTGTCCTAAATTCCTATATATTAGGCCATATTTATCTGTATTTTCGTTTCATATTCATCGATATTTCTACGAATTAACCAATGTAGGCCTAGCTTTAGAGTAAAATGAGCCCATTATGCCTTTTTAATAGAATAAATTCAATTCAAATTATAATACAGAGTAAAACTTTCTAAATAATACACGTCATCGATATTTGCATTCATGAGTATGCGCGGATTTTTTTAAATTCTTTGGTATTAACTCATTCATTAAATATTCCTTTATCTGTCCTTGCCCTAGTCCTTGGCAGAATGACTGAAACCGAAAATTAAGTATTCACCCAGAATAAAATGAAATTCAAACGAAACAACAAAACAGCTTAAAAATTACTTTTTGTCTTGCCTAATTGTTGACACTGAAACCCAAAATTACCGTCCCAAAAATTAGTTACTCCTTACTCTATCCGTAAATTTGTTAAAAGCGAATAAGAGCACCTTTTAAACGGACTTAATTGGTGTATAAATGTCGTACACGTTAACTCCATTACATTAAAGTAACCCGTACAGTTTTACTTTTGAGGGACGCGCATGGCAATTCCTGCTTTGACATTCATTTATCTCCATTATAGATCTGCGGAGGCGACTGGGGTACCGTAGTGATGGGCTGTATTTACCCGAAAAGGTGGGAATCCTACGAAACAATTTTTTTTTAAACTATTCCAGTAATTTGCCGTATTCTCATGTGTTTATTTCTCGATTAGGTATTGTTTCCATTCCTAAAATTTAAGCGTAAATTTTCCCGAATATAATAACGGTTTGAAGTAATTCTTCAAACCCACGAGCGTTTAAGGTTACACGAAATTCTAAAAATGGCATAGTCATCCCTTTAGTTACTAGGTTAAAATATTTCGACTAAACCTGAAATCAATTTACTTGGAAACTTGGAATAGACGTAATTGGATAATGGTATTAACTATTATTTATATACCTACTTTACTAAATCCTCGAATTCATATTTCGAAAGCTAGCTAGCCAATCTATATTATGAGCTAGCAATCAAATATGCTAAAGCCACACACAATTTTATTTTCATGCCTCATTTTAGTTAAGTACATTGTTTTAACATCCCTTTTTAAGGGGTCATAAAAGGGTGAAATAGCGCATCACTATTGGGGCGGACCAACGGGTCCCTAGCGAGTTTCCCCTTACTAGTCAACGTGGTAATGAGCGAGTGTGGTCTGTGGACATACCTGTGTTAGTTGCCAGTTCGTTATGCTTACGGCCTTAACTAAACGCTGCTTGTGAGGGTTGCTAACTTTTGTGGCTCACTTTTTTCAATTAGTCGGATGGTTTAGTACAGAAATGGATGCGCCTAATAGCTTTCGTAATGACAAAAATTGTTAATACACTAACAATGTTGCAACGTTCGAAATTGCGTTAAACTCATACGGAAGTTTTTTTTTTATGCATAACAAGCCAGTTATTTGACCACAATCGCACCTGATGTTAAGTGGGATGCAGTCTAGGATGTTACTTACATATTATCTACCCTGTTAAGTGCCTTTTCACTGACGCCTTGAAAAGGCCCGGATTATAGTTAAATTGTTTTTGATCTAGGCTGCACCATTTATACACTCATATTTTACTCAATTAGTTTACTTCTTGAAAATATGCTGGCTTCATGAGCGTAAGTCATATTAATAAAAAAAATATTTTATACTTACGCTTCTCTATCCATCCAATATAGGTAGGTACTCTTGTGATGATACTGCAGTCCAGAATCTCGTAATAGACCAATTCACAGCGATATTGAAAATTACTTCGATCCTTAACTTGATAATGTCCATTTGATTTCTGCTGGTAATTGTGCATAAAAGATCGAGTGCTTATTTTGTAAAACAATATCGATATCTTCTGCTCTACTGATAGACATAATATAGCTTTCTCTTTTCTTTTGCTTTGGTAGAAAAGAAACAGACGTGTTGCGTGGAAAAAGGTTTTCAGAATACACCCGCGTCAACGACCAAAATAGCTCGATGCATTCGATGTCAATGAACGTCATCGAATAAAATCGAATCGGATTTAATATGATCAACTTGTTGCCGATCTCATTGGCAGCTCATTACGTGAACTCCATTTTAGATGAGAAAGGAATGTAATTAAGTTTTAATTGCTATTTATTTCACATCAACTGCAGATGTGTTTTACTGCATTGGTTTACGACATTTTAATGTCGCGATGGAAGGATTTAACAGTTCGATTGTTTTGTGGACTGTGCTTTTGGATTCGATTCGAAATTCATATCTGAGATTAGTGTGCATTTGGATTAGATTTGTGCTGAATGGAGTAAAATCCTTATTAGAAATTAACTATTTTCACTCATCATAATATTTTGTTTCTTATCATATTAATGGAATAATAATAAAGAGAAATTAGATGTTACGTTAAAATTTATTTCATAAATTGCATAGTCTACAGAATTTAATGTTTTATTCGTGCAAATTTTCCCTACCTCAGCTAAACATTATAATATTTGAAACTTCAATAAGTTCAAAGTTAATGGATATATTAATTTATTTTTCACTTACTGCCTTGGGAAAGGAGTTTCCACGATTTTCATTATCAGAAGTAAACATTCTTAGAATTAGACTAAACAATTTTTTTCTTACCACGAAATATTGCGTATGAATTTTACTTGGAAAATTAACAGGTGCAAATTAATATTGATGATATAGAAATTAAATAGTTTTTTTTTTATCCATCAACTTTTGTGTTAATTATTATTACGAGTACTACTATGCGTCTATAAAATGAGTGCGCTTTGAAACCTTATATTGATACTTTGGGTATAACTACATAGTGTTATTTTATTTAAGTCAATAGCAAAATTAGGTACTATTAAGTGATTCATAATTTACATTAAAAGCGGTTAAGCAAGCCAGCCATAGTATAAATGAAATGCAGTTAATTTTATAAAGAAAGAGGAATATTCGCAAACAAACATGGCGTGACTGTAACTCATGAGAGACCCTTAAACCTACGAGAACAAGAAATGAAAATGCTTACGTAATTTTTTTTAATGGTTTAATTGTCGTTTGTTTTAATGCATTATATATTTAAATAAGTTTAATAACAAAAGTTTTAGTAAGTATGTATAAATAGCCTTACTCTATTAGTATGACTGTAGGTATCGACAGAATAGGTATGGTGTTCATTGGTTATATGTATTTCAATATTTAAATAAATTTATACATATAAAATTACCATCATAACTTTTATACTTGTCTAAATATCGCGATGATTCTGAGAGGCCGGCTTCGACTAGATATTAAATAATTTGTACGCTTTATACTAAATTGGTGTCATACCTTTCAGTTGTTTATTAAATTTATATTTTAGGTTATAGGACAAACTGGGTCATTTGACTAACCAAATTACCAAAGTAATCAAAATTTCTAAATTTAGTGACGAGAGGCAAATTAGGTGGGTACTTTAGGATCAAAGGGAAGGATTTAATTTATTTACCATAATTATAATAGGTAGGATATAATTATTGCTTGTTATATTCAATTTCAAGCCGGACTCTTCAAAATCAAACCTCAATGCATACCATCTACGTATAAAAATATCAATTTCAGATATCTATCGAAACAAATGCCTTTAAATAAGTTTTCAGAAATGAACTTACAAAAATAGCCAATAAAACTGTATTTATATTTTGTACCCCTTCCCATCAGAGCAACTGGTTTATAATTATTGTTTCTATATAATATTTCATGCTATGTATGTAGGTAAATGTCTTAAGCACATGATACATAAGTCAAAAAGGTTTATTTCTCTAATATAGTACAACTAATAGGTAAGCTATAACAATGTTTCGAATAAAATTAACGACATTATAGTATTTGAAGTTAGTAATCTATATTGCTCATATTTGTACAAAGTTTTCATCAAGTATTGGTGTTTTAATTCAGAAAATATACAAATGTACTATACAAATACACAATGATTATTATTAATTTAGTACACGTTATCTCTTAAAGATTTTTCACAAGCAACTTACAATATTGAGTACCCATATTTGAAAGGAACTAGTTAATAAACAAAACAGTACATTGATCCTGTGATCACCTATGCTATGAAAAAAATGGAGTCTAGCTCCTGGACTATTTAGGACAAAATCAATTATAACTTGCAGTCGACAGCACATCAGACTATACATTTTTGTTGCAAAATAGCACCTAATACAACCACTTAAGATGCCACAGTGTATAGGTTGATGTGCTGCCATCGAACATACATATTTTGAGCATCCATACAGATGACAACGCTTATTTTAAATAAATTCAATGATTAACACTATTTTGTCCTGTTACGTCCACCTCAATAAATACACGGCCAAATACTGAAACGTTACTTAAATCCAATATATTTTTTAAATTCTCATCAAAATGATCAACATGACCAAAGAAAAAAATATTTGCATCTGTACTTTGCAGACATAAATTTCCACTAAAGTCTAACAGACGTTATATTAATAACAAGTGATGTCGTAAAGTCGTTTAAGTACCTACATATCGTTTCAGTATACGGCCGTTAACCTGACCAATTGATTTAAGTACAAAATCGAGAACAGCGTCTTTATTCATGTCTTTATTCGCAATTTCATCATATTTACACGTTTATATACAAAGCTATCACATATTACAATTTCAATCGTATCACTATTTACATTATTGCATATTCAATGTTCCTTGTCGTGTTGACAATACACTTTTCAGTTTATACATGTAACGCGCCAAAGAATATATCTGCGACATTGTCCTTTGCGCAAAACTTTTGTTAGACGTACACTATGTGTGGTTTCTCCGGCGTTCTATGATGTGGGATAGTTTCGTACGCAAATTGTTGGTAGATGTGTTCTTCACTGTCCTCTTGGTAGTACGGGTTCTTATCTACACTATGCCACGGGGGGTTTAACGAATGGAAGTTATTTGTCACAGACGAACCGATCATCAGGTACCGGTCAACGTCTCTCTTGTTCTCTTGCTCCCTACTCCTCGTTGAATAACCTAAACCGTTACTCAACTTTGACACGTCACCGTTCAACATGACACTCGTCATCACTTGCTTCGACTTGTCTCCTTTGCACTTCTTCAAAGGTCCCATAAAATATAAAACTCCACCAACCACACTTATAACGATACTCACAGTTAGCACCACAACCGCAACTATCACCCACCCATTTGAGCACCCAAATTCCGATTCGGGAACCTGGATAAATATTATCTCCTTCAAGTGTTCTGGAGCTGAACACCTCACGTCCTCATAGTCTATTTTTAGAATCGTACTTGCGTTTCCAGATTTTCTATGGCTTATTTCACTTTCTCTCGCAAGCTTCCACAGCCACAATATCGAACAATTGCAGACGTACGGATTACCGGAGATCTCTAATTCTTGCAGTCTATCAATCGGGAAGTGAGACGCTTCCAGCGTTTCTAAAGCATTGTTCCTCATGTAAATGTGAGTCAGCTTAGGATTGCCATGAAACAGTCTCGGGGGAACTTCACTTACTTTAACATTTTCGTTCATCCATATCTTCTGTAGATTTATGTTGTCGACAAAAGCTTTCGAATCGATTTTATCTAGTTCGTAAAGTCTGCTCAGATGTAAATGCTTCAAATGGAACAGACTTTGAAACGAGAGAGCTGTTACGTTTTGAAAAAAGTTGCCACTGAGATATAAATGCGACAAGTTTGATAGTTTCGACAGTGCAGATGTGGGAATCGTCGTCATGTTATTATCGCTCAGATCTAAGTGCCTCAGCGAAGGCAATCTGTGGAATCCTAGTTGGTCCACGTTATCAATAATATTGCTATTTAAATCTAAATTCTTCAATTCCTTCAAATATGGTATCCCATGTTTGGAAACTTGCTGTATTAAATTTTCTGATAAATCTAAATATTCTAAATGAAAGACGAATAAAAGATTAGCCGACGGTATATCCAATATGGAATTATTCTTAAGCGATAAGATCTTCAATGCCGTCAGGGGTTCGAATGTGTTCGCTTCGAAGCTAACCAGCTTATTGTTAGATAAATCAAGCTTTTCCAGTACAGATAAAGCTTTGAAGGTCTGTGCGTGAATATTTGATATTTCGTTATCGGACAAGTCTAAGTCGACGAGTCCCTTCAGTCCAATAAACGTATCCTTATCTAGGCGCTTGAGGAAATTGTGGCTGACATTGAGATGCGTCATCTCCTGGTTGTTCTCAAAGTTTTTACTACCTAAGTCTTGTATTTTGTTGTAGGAGATGTCTAGGATGGTGAGCTGGGTGTAGAAGCCGAATGTGTAGAGGAGGTTGTCGATGGCGTTGTGCGTGAGGTTGATGTGGGTGGCCTCTGGGTTGAGTTGTATGGGGACGATCTCGAGGCTGGCGTTGGCGCAGGAGGCGGCGCGCAGAGTGTCGTCGCAGGCGCATCGCGCGGGGCAGAGCGTGCGCGCCGCGGCGCCCCACGCGCAAGCCACCACCACCACCCACCAGCGCCACTTCGCTACGCTGCGTGAGCCCATAACATCTCATGTATACGCCACCGGTTACCTGAAACACAAAAACAATCTATTAACAACACGATTAAATCGACAACTGAAGTAATAAAGGAACCGCAAATAACAACCTATTGTTCTTTTCCTATCTGCGCAAATAAATTGTGTATAAAGAAAATTAAGTTCAAATGTACGAATACAATACAATCTCGCAAGGCGAAGCTGGAAACAAAATCTCGTTGCCACGGAATAGATGGAATCTAGTTTATTTTTCCAGTAATTTATTGTTATCATAAAATCCGTACGCTCCCTGAGGGTACATCGCCCTAGACCGCGGGAGAGGCAAGTAAAAATACACAACATTATCGCTCGACAAAATCTTAATATAATTTCTGGCGAAAACTGCAGATAACAAATGTGCCTCTCCGCAATTTGTATGAGGGGGAATGGAATTGTTTGATCCAAATTAGGCCGATAAGAGACGTGCTACGGCGGCGAAATGGTTGCTTGGCCACAAAAACTTTTTTATTATCTTACGAGGCCTATCGCATAAGGCAACAAGCTAACTTGAGGAAAACACTAATGGCGGTTGGCTTTGATCATTAATATTGCACGCGGCGCTCTTGTTTCAGGCACGCAGATGGAAAGCTGATTAATTCACCTCGATTCGGTATTCGGATATTTACCCCATCAAGACAAATGTGAGGGAACGGGGAAGCAGCGGCTAGCACCGGCACCGCTAATCCTCGTGCCTGAACGACTCCTCAACAATGCCTTCCCAAATGTTCGTCAATTTAACAAAGGAGCGTTTGGTACTTTAAATTAAATGTTCGGCTTTACAATTCGACAGAATGTATAATGAATAGCACCGTAACATCTGTTAACGAAGGCGAACGATCTCGAAAGTTTTCACGCGCGGGAATAACTAATTGCGAAGGTTGGAATTCAATTTATGGCCTCTAGTGCGCCTCCCGGGAGATCACGCCATGCTAAAGTATTAATAATGCAAAACAGTGTCACGGAAAGTTTTTGATTCGAAATGCAAATTAAATTAGGAAACAAAGTTGTGATTGTTGAGCTGGTTCTGCCGCTTTGTCATTTATTGTCGGCTGTATTATGCTAACCGGTTTACAAACAACCATTTGTGTAGCAAACGAAAATTTAGATATGAAATAAAATTATCTGATGTCAAGATGTTAACTTGTAAGAGCTTGTGAATAAGTGAAGAGTTTGTGTGGAGATAACGCTGTCTAACAAATTGTTTGATGTTAATGAACAGCGAGACAACTCGTGGATTGTTAAGCGTTTAGCTCCCAAAAGGCAGCGAATGTAAGGATGCAAGAATACGACTCCCTCCGTAACTGGATACGAAACATGAATGGATTACGCAGCCTGCCTGAATTACAGAAACCATACGTATACACACTCGATACACATCAGACGTCCCGTATTAGACCGGATTAATTCTATTACATTCCAAACGTATTCTGGATCACGAAGCAAAAGATAGGCAAGTTAATCATACTCAGAGGTGCTTACAAAATAATGATGAAAATCTGATCTTTCGCGCGTACTGCCTTTAAAGATTACTTTACAGAATTAGTATTCATACGATTTCTTTCAAATCCGAAAGGTTCTCTTAGCTAGATGAACCTGACTCGTTAAAGTCTAAATTAATTGAATACTTTGAAATGCTCTTACGCTGTAAGTAGGTTGAGTTCAATCACGAGTAATTTAAAGGTATCGAGGATTTCTAAGCCCAACTTTAAAAAAGTAATTTGCGTTTTCAAATACTCGTATCCTCTATTCAAATGAAATGCAAATAGAATTAAGATTCAAAAGTCACCCCTAAAAGTTACACACAAGGTTAAAATGTCAAAGGCAGAAACGTTTTACGTAGTAATCAGGCTGTGATGACTCAAACAACATCACCTGTCAAAATGTTTACGCTAGGCAATGCTTAGGTGACCGCGGTCGGAAACGCCTATGAAAAGATGAGAAAGAGTCGGGGCACGCCCTCCATTTCCGAGCCTAAACTGCTCTGGCCGGCACTCTTTTGTCTTTTAATTTCCTGTCCGCGAGAGTGCGCTCCCATCGTGAATTTTGCTTTCGTGAGCTTCGTTAACTTGTGTCGGCCTTTGTTGTTGCCTATTGAACTTTTCCATTACCGACGTCATCGATTGAAACCGCTAAATTCGTTGGAAAATTCTTGTCGCTGAAATCGCTGCCCTCAAAAATGAGCAGCGGCCAACGACGCTCGTCCCGTTTCGCTTTCATAAAACCCAGTATGTTTTCAGCTTTTCGTTTTGTTTTCGCCCCGGTGAAGCTCTTCAAATGGAAATTAAATATTTCCTTATTGAAAAGTTTGAGTGTTATACCGTTTGGATGCGGGATTTGTAATTGTAACAGACTTTTGTTTTGTTTGTGAGTGACTGGCTAATGTTATTTTGAATAACAGGAAACTTTTTGCCGTCTCTGCTTTGTTCTTTTTTCGGGGTATTAGTTCGGAATGAACTTTAATTTGTTGCTCGTGCATATTTAATGTTGAAATGGCGCCCCTAATTATGCCATAGCACCTAAACACCACGAGGTGGAGGGTCGTAATTTATTATTACAGTTTCCGCGACCAAATTCAATATCAAAGGGCCTGGAACCTTTCGTATTATTAACGGGCAACGTCATCGGCCCCATTTAAATTATTATCAAAACTATCCAGTTAGTTCGGCCTAATTGTGGACAACCGGGTTCGGGCGCACTAAAGTTATCACGGTGTTAATACAACTTGAGACGTTACTAACACAAAGGAGGGTTTACGAGGGGAGCCAAGACAATAAAACCAGTGTAAAAGTTGGCTAACCGCTTCTCGCGCTCTCCCCAAGAAAACATCGTGGCCCTCTCGCTGCGCTGCTGTTTTTAAAATAGTCGGATCTTATGTTGAAAGTATTGAAATAGATAATATTATCGGCGCATATGTCTCTTGACTGTAAAAGGCCCGAAGTTTGGTAAACATAAAGGTATATTCATATTTGGGGGGCGTGCGCGGAATTTCAGGTGACGTGTTTCACTTGTAAGTTTTCCAGAGAGACCTGCGATCATGCTAACCTATGCTTTGCTACATTAAGGTACATTGCTACGTAAAATGCATAACCTAAATATGTATTTGCATCAGCAGAGTCTCATACAAATGTCATAATACACATTCCGCCCACACCACGTGGAAAAACGGAGAACTCACGGAGTCAAAATTGGTTTTCTCCTAAGTACTATAGAATAGAATATGCTCTAATAAGAGCTATCTAAAAGTACATATTTTTGTACATAGCCTGTTCCACGCACGCCCTCACAATCTGAATGTACCTTTAACAGTGATGGTGAGGGCCAGTAAGGAGCATAATGAGAAAACTTACTCAGCAACTGAGGAGCCCGATAGTGCCCGGAGCAAAAAGCAAGAGCGACTGCCGTTGATTCGATTTCCAGTTCGCAACTACACGTTGTATTACAAGAACGTAGCTAGTTTTTCTTCCACTTCACTGCAATGGAGTTAGCATGCGGGTTTGGCCAAATTGGTAAAAGTAGTTATCGAGTTTTCTTTCGATTTTGGTATAATTAGCCGGACCAGCGTAATGTGGCAGACATTCTAGAGTAAAGAAGTCCAGGTGTAAATACTTATAGAAAAGAAATGTCTTTCTTTTTTTTAATCACCTTTGTACACCGAATAAAAGGCTCATAAACAAACTTCTATTGTGTAATTTAAAAATAACTTTCCTCAAATAAGCAGGCATTTATTGCGATAGTTATCATTTATAACAATTCTTCAACGCAATAATATGTATTTTGCTACACGTATGAATAAATATTTTGAATTGAATTTTGAAAGAAAGAAAGAAAGAAAAATATTTTTATTTAGTCCAAACATCCTTATCCTTGAATTGAATCTTCTTTATCTGTAATGCATATTTATACATTTTCATGATTCCTATAGAATTAAAGCTTTCATTCATGGTTTCAAAAGGTTTTCGATCCCTCGAAGAAATGAAAAACTTACTTACTTTTAACCTACGTACTTGTGTTTATTAACATCATTCAAACTATACAGTATTAAATTAACCTACTATATTAACAAACAAAAACAACATCATGTCCAAAAAAATTTACATTTTTGTTATCGACCAACTACATCGCATTCAAAACAACAAACATTAAATTAATATAAAAGCCTATGACATCACCGAACATCCCTCGACAGCAGTTTATTGCTAATAAGCACGTACTAATTATGGTCAAAATGGCTGTAATTTACAGTAGTTTTTAGGAAGCAAATGATTTCGCGAACGCTTTTATTGCGCCAGACGGCGGAATTGCGGGTGGGTTTTAATTACCTGAACATTAATTCGGACAAACGATGATTAGTTACGTATCCGCACCCTAATCGACGACAGGTGAGGAAGAAAAGACAGTCTTGAGTCCACAATACCAGCGAATCGAGACACAATAGAAATCAATTGTTACCGCGGTCTCATGCGACCACTTAGGGTTCCACGAGATAAATTCTAACGAGTAACATAAAGAAATAGAGCCTCACACACTATAAGATTCCGCTTATCAAGCTATTTATTTGCATAGCATTTGTAATATAAAAAAAAATATCTGAAGGTTATTGAGTTAATTATCTAATTTATGACTTAACAAAGAATATAAAACTTTAACAAACTATCCTTTTCCCGCATCGTTCTAGAGAAGTCGCATCCTGACGATAATATGACCGCCTGAACGTGCCGTTAAAATTCTTGAAAACAGTCTTATTCCTGAGAAAATGCATAATGTTGCTCTATTGGAGATTATTTTGCTGTTCTCGTTATACTGCGGCACCAAACAAATTTTAATATCCAGGGAGCCCACCTGCCAATAGTTTCGCGCCGTTCGCTATTGATTTTGCAATCAAACGCCTATTAGAGATCGCCAGCCACTTCAAAGCGTTTATATAACTTGATTTATTAATTTCAGGGCAGCTGAATTGAGGTGCTATATGGCTACGTATTGGTCCTTTATGCATGC